AAAATATTTGATATAGTTAAAAATAATTAAAATTAAAGAGCTAATATTTTTAAATGTTAATATTCAAGAATGAAACAAATTGTGATAAATTACTATGAACTATAAGAGCAAAATAATTCAAAATAATTCGAATTATATTAAAAATATTTGATATAGTTAAAAATAATTAAAATTAAAAAGCTAATATTTTTAAACGTCAATATTCAAGAATGAAACAGATTGAGATAAATTACTATGAACTATATAAACAAAATAATTTGAAATAATTCGAATTATATTAAAATAGTTTGAAATAATTAAAATTAATGAAAATTAAAGAGCTAATATTTTTAAATGTCAATATTCAAAAATTAAAATTAGACTATTACTGAATTTTATTTATAAATAAAATATATAATTTGATTTAAAATAGATTAATCTATTTTGTAAAGATTTGAAATAATTTAGTAAAGAGTTATTTAAATTAAATAAAATGCAAATCTATTTGTAAAATGGAAAAGAGAATAGAATTACTGTATTTAAAAAATTAATAATTCTAATAAAAAAAATATCAATTTACATATATTATATAAAAATTTCAAAATATTTAATTATTTCGATATTTGATATTAAATATTAAACTACTATTTAGTTTAGTAATATTAATTTAATCTAATCAATTCGCAATAGTCCAAATTGTTTAAAATTATTTTGCATAAGTTTAATTTATATAAAATCCTATTACTATCTAGTCATAATGGTAGTTAAATCATCAAAATTGAATTAATATTAGCTAAGATAGCTTAATTAAAATTTATATATAATATATCGAATATTTTGATATAAAATAATTCAAACTATTTTTAAAAAATACAAATAGTTTCGAAACTTTTTAATAAAATTTGTAATTTTTTTAATAAATATTATTCAGCATGTTATTTTGATCATAAGAGTATAGACATTTATCAGGTAATCACCTGATATAATATAATTAAAATCTGATTGGCCAATTTATCAATTATAAATTTGTATAAGATCCAGAGCCACAATAATAAATTATTAATTTCATGCTATTTGGATTTATTTTCTAAGAACTTTTGAAAGTTTTATTTTCCATATTTATAATCTAATTCTGCAATATTCTGTTAAATACAGAAACTCATCGACCCTAATCAGAACCCTCATACCTTATAAAAAAAAAGCTTCGCTTGAAACTCACTAATATAACATTTTTATTTAAATACATAGTTGACTAATTTTCTATATACGGTTCCTTCACTATTAATTAGGTCTTACTATATTTGTCTTTTGACATAGTCAGACCTCTAAATACACACCATAAAAACCAAACTTTAATGTGCATTTAGTGAACAATAAGAAAAAGTGTATTAATAAAGGTAAAGTATATCCAAAACAATTTATATTTGGAGTTAAAGTTAGATCACATTATTTTTAACATTAGTTGAATTTATATTTGCTAGCAATAAATATTGCATCTTTACTTCTGATATTATTTCATAACTAGTTTTAAAAATTCTACATATTTTTATTACAAAATTTATAAATAAAATTTTAACTTAAAACCCAATGATTTTTAAATATAACTACTATAAATATGCGTATAAAAGGTCCTCTTTGGTAGTAAACTCACTATGAGTTAGACCCAGGCACAAACCACAGAATCTTTGTTAATAATAAGTAGTTTTTGCAATGCTTATTATAAATACAAAACATGTATATTGGTCACCGGATCTTGTATATACACATTTATAGTAGAAGTGAACTATTGCACGTATATACATACATTCATGTGCATGCATTTAATTACATTAATGCCAAACGTATATATCTCATTCATAGTATATATCTTAATTCCGGATCTAAAGTAGAAATAAAATTATTAATAATTTATAAAAGAAAAAGGCCAAACATTATAATAATATTATACTAGTTAATAATAATAGTCTGGCGCAGAATTATAATTCAAGTCCACTACATATCGAAAAGATCATATAAGTTTAAAATCAGTCTCAAATATGATTAAAACAATCTGATTATTCTATACTATTATTCATAATAGCTTAAATTAGAAATAACTAATCAATTCTGGATCTTTCAGTTTCTAAAATATAAGGTTCTGCAAATGTCGTCATGGTACTGTTGAAAAACCAGTACTGAGTATAGGGACAGGCACCATATTATTAGTGATATCATATCTAAAACTTGCAGAATTCTAATAAAATACAACCCAAAAAAAAACATTAATATTTAAAAGAAAAATAGTAAGCCAAAGTCATGGATAATAAGAATAAAAGAAAACCATACCATGTGCTTGGGCTAAATAAAGTAATGCAAAAAAAAAGCAATTTATACTTAAAGAGAAATTGGGGTTAAAAATATAATTAACAAAAAAAAAATAATAATAATAAAAATGCCTACTATAGCACAATTAAAATCTTACTTGTTATTTTTAACTTGTAGAGACCTTTTATCCATTAAGCGCTATTACTTACAAATACTATTAAAAATTGAAAAAAATATCAAAAAATGCAAACATTTTTTTCTACTCCAAAATTTAATAAAAATTATATTTACAAAAATCCTCAAAACACTTCATAAATTTACTAATGCATTTACCTATTATAAAATAGCCTCGTTGGGCTCTGTATTTCTTGATAAAAAAGTTTTATATAAAGAATGCAATGATAAATAAAATTTAGTTAAAAAACTTTCTCAAAAAGAAACACAGGTCGAAAGATAAAAAATCAGGCACAAATCAGGTACCTGATTTGTACCTGATTTTTTATCTTTCGACCTGTGAAATTGAAACCAAAATATTTAATTATTTAAATACTCCAGTACAATTGCGAGGATGTATAATGCATGTTCCAAGTAGACAATCCTTGCTATCACAATTGTCGTCATCACAATTGTCATTATCACTTGAACTACCAGAATCTGATAAACTAATTTTTTACAATGCCATAGTACAGAAAGAAGCTTCTGCTAAAAAAAAAGAGTTAAAAAAAGAATTGCCTAAATTACAAGCTATAACAAAAATTACTACTAATCCTGAATATTATTCTTTCCAGATTTCTGATATACAAAAAAATATTAAAAGTCAAGATAATCGGTTAAATAAACTAAAAAGACATGTAGCAAGTCAAAAAAAATCACAAAAAAAAAAAAAATTGCTTAAGAAAGAGCAATTGGTTATAAGATATGATTCTCGGGGCCATCCACCCTTACTTTTCCAATACCCCAATCTACACGACTACATACACTTCTGTATTGAATTTGGAGAGGCTGATACTCAAAGGCAGTGTGAAATCATCAAAGTCAGAACAATTAATTACCTTCGCACTGCATTAGAAGAAATACAATGAGTATTTGTCATGAAATTATATTCTGCCCCAAAATAATCGTAACCTTTTAGCATGAGCTCACCATTATCTAGCTTTAGTTGGAATTGCAGGAGTTAGTAGAAATGAAAAAAAGATCATATTGACAAGCACTATTGTTTGGCGTCAGTAAAAAATACTAGAAACTTCGCCTCTGTCTTTGCTAACCAATCTGTTATACTATCACAAGACGACAAAGCAAAAGTGCCTGTTGGCATTCCTGCTATAGGAAAACATTTCGAGACAATGCAAACAGTTCACAAACCCGTGTTAGTATCTGATCATGATTTTCCAATCGAATTTTCCCAAAAATTAATACCATCTATCTATTTGGCAATCAATCTAAAGAAAACTGATAAATCATTAAGAGTTGGTCAAATTGCAATTTTTATTAGAGCACAGTGGCATCTTGGTTCTTCTTCTGCTACTTATATGACAGATATTTTATTATTGTTGCTAATGAAAGATTTGATAATGTTTTTAGGTTAGAATGTCTTTTTTTTTATATAATTAAAAACAGGTAGTGATTAATATATTTAAGTCTAGATTTAATAATTCAAACTTCAATCATCGCTTGTTTTAAATTATACTTTAACTTATTTTTTTTTTGTTTTTTTTTTCTTCTGTTTTTTTTTTTATTCTTTTTGGTTTTGTTTTTTCTCTTTATTTTTATTTTTATCATTCTTATCTCAGATATAAAGATGAGGTCAAACTATTATAGGTTTTTCTAGTTGATAGTGGGCCGGATGAGAATCCGCAGCACTTTAAAAATATAATTCAATATTGTAAGTTATTTTGCTATCTAAATTTAGATTATTTAACAATTTGTGCTCATGCTCCAGGCTAGTTGGCATACAACCTGGTCAAAAGGAGTATGTTATTATTATCAAGAAAAGTCGCTAGAATTACTTTACCAATTAATTATTTTGGAAACCACTTGGATTCTCAAGAAAATGTGCAAAATTATGAACTTGGGCTTCGAAATTTTCGCCATGCTGGCCAGACCCTTGCTGATTTGTGACGAAAAAACTCTATTTATGGAAGGCCAGTTTTTGTTAAGTATATTGATAAACAAATAAATCCTTTCTCAAATATATTATTTTAATAAATGAAGATGAGTTAAAAGAAAATGAAAAAGATAATAAAAACAATGATGAAAATAATGAATTCTCTGTGCCATGGTCTTGAATTGAAAATCATTGTATTATCTGTCAATATTTCTTGGATATTCGAAAATGTGATGATCTATCATACTGTTCCTCTAAACGAGCTGAGGAGGCTACTACATTATTGAGCATAAACAATAGGTTTTTGCCTCCATTAATCAAAGGAAAAGATGGTTATTACTTAAATACAATTCATACTTTAGAATATTTTAATTCTATCAAGATCCCAACATATGACGCCTACCTACTATCTTTTTCTGCAAAAAACTATGCTAGACGCTGTTGTACTCTCTATAAAAAATACTTTTCTACACTTTTTTTTCTTACCAAGGGATCCCATCAACTCACTGACAATCACTTCATAGACACTGCATTTCACTGACAATTACTTACCGACAAGTTCATTCCACCGAAGCTCATTTTACAGACAAAGTAATTCTGATCAATATCATTAGAGTTAGATTAGAACTAGAGTTAACGTTAGTGTAATTAACTTGTCGGTGAAATGAGTTTCGGTGAAATAGACTGTTGGTAAAATGAACTTGTCAATGAATAATTGTCTGTGAAATATGGTATCTATGAAGTGATGTCGGTGAAACAATACAGACCCTCTTACCAAACACCGAAAATTTGCACATTCTAGTGCTAGAAGTAGACGAATAGGCAATCCTCAACTTGAAACAAATTTAGCTATTGTCGAAGACTTTTCTATGTCTTCATCTTCAGTTAAAATATCTGATCATGAGTCAATTGCTATAGCCATTGCTTTTAATTATATATCAGAATAAAAATTTAGAACAGTAAGTTATAATATAAGGTTAACCTATTAAAACACATAAAGAATACTTTATATTAAATTTAACTCTAAAATTCTAGCTTTAGAATCAAGATCACGGAAATACAAAAAATAAAAAAAATTTTAAATGTTTATAGTTAGAAGTATATAAGACGTATATATTTTATTAAAAGAATAAATATATAGTATATATATATGTATTAAATCTATGTACATATTATAGATTTATTGGTATAAATACAAGTCAAAAGGCTCTTTACTAATATTTATGTAAAAATGTACTTTGCTAAAGTAAAATCGAATAGATATAGATATAGTAGTATATATAGTATGTAGTATATATATACTATTGTACATATGTACTATGTATGTACAAATAATTTGATTAGTCGATCTAATTAATATATATAGCACCTAATTTTGTCTTTGACCCCCACTCTAAAAAATCAGGTGATAAATGTCTATATCCTAATAGTAGTTAAATCATCAAAATTGAATCAATATTTATTAAAATAGCTCAATTAAAATTTATATATAATATATTGAATATTTTGATGTAAAATAATTTAAAACTTTTTAAAAATATTAATAGTTTTAAAACTTTTTAATAAAATTTGTAATTTTTTTAATAAATATTATTCAGCATGTTATTCCGGTTATAATGATAGTTAAATCATCAAAATTGGATCAATATTTGTTAAAATAGCTTAATTAAAATTTATATATAATATATTGAATATTTTAATATAAAATAATTCAAACTATTTTTAAAAAATGTGAATAGTTTTAATAAAATTTGTAATTTTTTTAATAAATATTATTCAGCATGTTATTCTGGTCATAATGGTAGTTAAATCATCAAAATTGAATCAATATTCATTAAGATAGCTCAATTAAAATTTATATATAATATATTAAATATTTCGATGTAAAATAATTTAAAACATTTTTGAATAGTTTTGAAACTTTTTAATAAAATTTGTAATTTTTTTAATAAATATTATTCAGCATGTTTTTCTGGTCATAATGGTAGTTAAATCATCAAAATTAGATCAATATTTGCTAAGATAGCTCAATTAAAATTTATATATCAAATATTTAATATACAGTAAAATAATTTAAAAAATTTTTAAAAAATGCGAATAGTTTCAAAACTTTTTAATAAAATTTTAATTTTTGTTAATAAATATTATTCAGCATATTATTCCGGTCATAATGATAATTAAATCATCAAAATTGGATCAATATTCATTAAGATAGCTTAATTAAAATTTATATATAATATATCAAATATTTTGATATAAAATAATTTAAAACATTTTTAAAAAATGCAAATAGTTTCGAAACTTTTTAATAAATTTTGTAATTTTTTTAATAAATATTATTCAGCATGTTTTTTTGATCATAATAGTAGTTAAATCATCAAAATTGGGTCAATATTCGTTAAGATAGCTCAATTAAAATTTATAAATATTTCGATATAAAATAATTTAAAACATTTTTAAAAAAAGTGAATAGTTTGAAAATTTTTAATAAAATTTGTAATTTTTTTAATAAATATTATTCAGCATGTTATTCCGGTCATAATAGTAGTTAAATCATCAAAATTAGATCAATATTTGTTAAGATAGCTTAATTAAAATTTATATATAATATATTGAATATTTTATTATAAATAATTTAAACTATTTTTACTTTTGATACAAAAAGTAGAAATTTAGCAAACCCCTGACAAACAGATTACTAATCATTACACCAAAACAACAAATAACAAACAGTGATACATATTCTTTTTAGTATAGACAAACAAACAAATCTTTAAGTAAACAAATGATTAGACAAACAACCAATACAAATTAGTCACGTAGTAAATCATAGAGACGTCAAGACAAAAATGACTAGAATAGCAGACTTAAAGAAATTTTTTAACAACCCAGAGAAACAAATAGAGAAAGTTTACAAAAAACAAAAATTATTAACCCTCAAGATAGATAGAAATATAGCAAGTTTCATAGGTGTATCTTACCCAGAACAAATTGGTATAATATGAGGGCTACTAGACAGCTATAAATGGATCCAAGGGAAAAAAAGTAATGGAAAAGAAATATTAGAAGTAGAAGCACAACTTATAGGTGAAGTGCCAATAGAAACTGTCTTCAATCAAATTATAAACCAATACACAGAAATGAATTTAGACACAAAATCTTCAATCTCGATACTTGGAAAGAGAGTATACAACGAAGATACTCAAGACAACATAGTTGTAAAAAAGAAAGAAACAAATTACATCAAAAATGCAGAATTAAACTTTAATAAAAGTGATAAGGAATTGCTAATACAATATCAGAACCACAAAGATGATTACAAATTTTTCATTAATCTTTTCGGAAAGCAGAACATCAGATTATGGTATAGAGGACACAGCAAAACTAATATCTCTAGCTAAAAGCTTCAATAATATGAATATAGAGACAAAACAGCAAATAACTAATGAAAAAAAGCAAAATGTAGAAAAACACACCAATGTTAAAAAAGAAGTACAAGAAAGAAAAGATATACATAGCTCAGTATAGGCACCTGAAAATATGTTGGCCCAAAATAAGCATTTAGTAAATAAAGCTAAATATTATAAAGAGAAGAGGAATTTAGAGTTATACCTTACAATTTGGGACCTGCTCTTTGGAGTAAATTTAGCAAGAATCAAAAGATGTTTTTACCATTTTAGAAAAGTAGAACTATTAGAATAGTACACTTTAAAAAGAATGATAGCAGCATATATAAAAATCATATACAGAAATGAAGAGCAAAAACTAAATTTACAAAATGCGTGGGCTATATATTTTGAAAAAGGCAAGACAAGCAAAATTATAGCAAGTAGATTTAATGTTAAGAAACTAGAAATAAGAAAAGAGTATAGATTGATGCTTAGAAAGATTTCTAATTTGGCACTTGAGTCAGTTCTGCTTAGACAACTAAGAAGGTTCAAAGCTAAGATGGTGTTTAAGCTCACTAATAGAAATAAA